TAGAAACAACACATATATAAAACAATCATTATAAAAATATTAAAATCAGGATTAAAGATTAAAGATTATTAAAAACAAAATATACAAACCCCAGGCAAAGAGAGAATGAGTTTATCCACCTCAGTAGTGGACAAATCTGAACATTTCTCCAGTTCCCTGGGACCCCCAGGCCTGGTAACATAACCAGGTCTTTGAGGAACTTGGTTATGTCCGGAATGTCAAGAGAGATGGAGCTAATCTGATTTTGGGGGTGGGGTGGGGGAGAATGTTTCATAAGGCAGGCACCATGGCAGATAAGGCCCATTGCCTGGGACCCACCAAATGTACATCCCTGGCAGGTGGTACCTGCAGCATGCCTTCCCTGCCAGAGCCAATGGGATGGGCTGATGTAATCGGGGAGAGGCAGTCTCTCAGATAACCCAGTCCCATGCCATGAAAGGCTTTAAAGGTATGAAAACCAGCACCTTGAATTGGACCTAGAAGCAAACTGGCAATCAATGCAGCTCGTGGAGCAGAGGTATGATATGTGCTGTTCTGAAAGCACACGTAACTGCCCATGCCACTGCATTTTGTACCAGCTGAAGTTTCTGGATACTCTTCAAGGGCAGCCTCATGTAGAGCGCATTACAGTAGTCCAGTCTGGAGATGACTAGGGCATGAGTGACTGTGAGCAGAGCCTGCCAATCCAGGAATGGGTGCAACTGCCGCACAACATGAAGCTGTGCAAAGGCCCTCCTAGCCATGACTGCCACCTGCTCATCAAGCAGAAGTCATGAGTCTAGGAGGACCCCCAATTTGTGCACTGGGTCTGTCTGGGGCACTGCAACTCCATCCAGCACCAAAGATGGCATAGTCCTGGAACCAGCAGGCCCCAACACCCAGAGCCACTCAGTTTTACCAGAGTACAGCTGAAGCCTATTGTTCCCCATCCAGACCCTCACAGCCTCCAGGCACCAGGATAAGATCTTTATGGCATTGCTTAATTTGCCAGGGTCAGAGATATATAATTGGTCACCTTGAGTTACTTTTCAAGTTGCCCAAGTGACAGGTAGCTAGCACAGAAGGTATCTGTGCTGGTGACCTACCATTCTGGCTATTTTCTGAGCATGGGTACAATGATCCTCTGCAAGACCACTAGACCTGTTTGTTTAAATTAATATCTACAGCTGTTCTGGAACCCACACTGTATCTGAAAAATAGCTGGCTGAAGCATACATGGGGGTGGGGCATGGGATGAAATGTGGGGAAGTTCTTCAAGAAACAGCTGCTGCTTCACTGTACACTTTTTCCCTGTACACTTGACCTGACAGATGGGCTAAAAGGGAAAACAATCAGACCCTTGTCAATTTCACCATAGTTTCTCATATGTCCCAAATCAATACAGGCCAACTCTAGAAACCCCAGAGAAAACTCCTGTTAGGAATGGCTGCAAGGTAGGAAAAAACCATCTGATTTTCCACCCTCCCAATTACCACACTGCTACCTTCTCTGGAGGCTCCAACCCACCGCTCTTCAGGGAATTCTCCAAGAAGTATTTCCAGGACTTTTCAGAATTAGGGTTAAAGTAAAAGAGGGAAGAATAGTTCTTGCTCATCCTCTTCTGCAGAAAGAAAATCAGGCTCCAAACCCATTGAATGGAACCCATAATATAATGCATTGTAACATATACACTTTCCCTTACCCATCCAATGCATGGGTTTCATTTCACACTTCCACACAAATAAGACATAGGAATAATCACAACTGAACTGTTAATGTGGAGAAAGGACAGAGGAATACCATGTGAATGTCATTCTAGTAGCACATTTGTTTATTATGCCTTGAATCCAGGGGTATTTTATGTGAAAATATATTTTTAATCCTCTACCTTAAAATTAAGTTTAACCACTTTGAGGTGCTCCCAATATTATGTGTTCCAAATCACACACAATCCAGCCTTCTAAGACGAGCGGTTTACATACTCCTGGAAATCAGTAAGATTAATACACCTCTCTCTTTTATTTGGAAACTAAATGTTATGTTGTTGCCTTTGGATATGCAAAATCAATATTGGCACACTTTTAACTGAACCTCTGGATAAAGCTGTTCAATTGCTCTTGAAAATGTTGCTTACCATCATTGGCTTAGGCTGAAGTGGTCAGAGAAGAAATAAGTAACTTCACCTATTTTCACCTATCACTTAAAAAAAAAAATGGCTTTGTGCTCAGATGATATTTTTATCAGGTAATCTCAAACCATCTGGCATAGAATAAACATTGTCTTCATTTTAATTATATACAGCCTTAAGCCTGATGCTAATTAGCAGTTTGAAAGGAGTAGTGATGCCAGAGAGAGAGAGATCAAAGATTATGTTGTTACTGAATATTACAGTTTACATAGCAATTGCTGAAGCTTTCAGCACAGATGTGAAAGCAGCTGTAAAGAACAATTAGCACAATTTCTGAACCTGCAGTAATATATCTCATATGAATGAGAATATACAGCCTTTTAATCCTGTGCATCAACTTCTTAATTCTACAAGGACCTACGGCTATTTGTTCTAAAGGGCAATTATAATGACTTTAAGTCCTTCCTTATAATCGTTATAACTTTTTTTTAAGCATTTGGCGATGTCCTCAAAATGCATTTACTTATATTAAAAAAAACCAACAGCACATGGTCAGTACTTATATATTCACATTTAATATACTACATATTTATTTATTACAGCCTCCTCTAATCTGGTGCCCTCCAGCTGCAGTGGAAGTATAACTCCCAGAATGCTCAGCCAGCATGTCCTTTGGGAATGGGAATTCTGGATTTTATGTCCAAACGTCTCTAGAGGACATCATTGGGGAAGGCTGATCTCTAATGTTATAAAAAAGACAAGGTCTGATCTTCTGAAGACACAGTTCCATTTGTGGATGAAGATCTGCATGGGGCTCAATGGATTCTCTTCTTCTACTTTTCTAACCAGCTTTTAGTGTGTGCATGGGGGTTCACAAACAGCATACAGTAGTACGCTGTTTCATATTTACAAGGAGAAGCAGTGAAATGTACTGGCTCAATCTGGCTCAAAGTAGCTATAAAGCCATAGACCTAAGAAGGAAAGAGAAAAGGAGACATTAACCTCTCATTCTGAATAATGGCTAATATACTGATGTTCATGTGTCATCCCAAAAATCAGCTGGGAAGCAAGTGAGCAGGGCATCATCAGTACAGGTGAATGTCCATAATCCAATGGCCTAAACATACCTAGGCTCTTTATTGTGCACATACTGGCTTCAAAAGAACAAAGGAGAGAGAAAAAGTGCCCATAATAAAGTGTATTTGAAACTCATAGAATAGAAACTCACATACTCATAATACAAGGAGGTAGAAACAGTTTGACGGATTTACAGGCTAAAAAGAAAATTAAGCTGAAAGATAAGCAAAATAAAAATGTCCTTCTTACAAGCCAACCTCTTTTTCTGTCAAAGGAAATCAGTAAGCCCAACCAAGTTTCTAGATGCAGTTGTTTCTTTCCACATAGTTAAGACCAGTAAGTCAAACAACATGATTATCCAGGATTGTTTTAAGGGTGTTCCCAACATTTAATGAGTTTTTTAAAGGCAAATTTAAAATCTTCATTAAAACTAGTATACAGCAGAGGATTTATAAGAGAATTCACATAGCCGAGCCATGTCAAAAAATGAGCAACTTCTGATGACACAGTGCTTATCCCAAGGCCCACAATGAGCTCCTTAATAAAAAATGGCAACCAAGACAAAATGAATGCACCTAAAATGAGGCCCAGAATCCGGGCAGCCTTTCTCTCCCTTACGCTTGAAATCTGCTGGCGGTCTCCAACCAAATCCGGATCATTGTCAAAAGGGGGGTTCCTTAATGAAAACTGGATTCTGTCAAATTCCACGGTTGGATCAGACATGGATAAGTCTGAAATGCAAAATGTCTGTGTCAGCTTACAACTAGCAAAAGAGTTCTGGCTGTCGGTGCTTCTACTGCTGAGATGTCTGCTTGACCCCCGTTTTTGGTACAGACTCTTTGCTGCATGATAGATTCTGTAGTAGACAATCAGAATGAGGGTCAGCGGGATATAAAATGCCCCAAATGTGGAATATATGGTATAAATGACATGACTGTGTTGGATTTGGCACTCACTGGAATTGCTGTTGCTACGATGGTTTCTCCAAAACAATGGAGGCATTGAGATGAAAATAGATATTGTCCATACTGTGCAGATCATAATACCAGCTCTCTTGGCAGTCCTTTTCCTGGCATATTCAATAGCATCTGTAATTGCCCAGTATCTATCCAAGGCAATGACACAAAGATGGAGTATTGAGCACGTGCAGCAGGTCATGTCAACGCTCAGCCATATCTCACAGAGGAAATATCCCAAGGTCCATTTTTCCATCACTATGTATGCGATGCTCAAGGGCATGACCAGAACAGCAACAAGCAGGTCTGTAAGAGCCAGTGAGCATATTAGGTAGTTGGCTGGCTGGTGGAGCTTCTTTGTTGTGCAGATTGCTGAAATAACAGAAGAATTCAGTAGCATGGTCAAGGTTGTAATTATGGAGAGAGACAAGGTAATTAGCAGATTTTCAGTGACAGTTTTAGATTTCATAGCCACATTGGCTTCTGGAGTAGAGTTAGTTTGATTCATCTTCTGTGGCCTTCTGGGAGTCTGGTTTAAAATTTCTCCATTCCAAGGTTATGACAAGTACTCCAAAATTGAAATTTGACATCCATACATCCCATATTTTCCAGACTGAAGCACTTTATGTGTTAGCTTTCTGGTTTCCTGGAAGATGAAATATACTTATTAATAATGGATCCTCTGGTTTTATTATTTTTACAATGTTAAAAACTACTTCTGTTAAAAACATATGTACCCCTAACAGTGCAGGAAGTATTAAAATTAAACCAATATGCCAAACTCCAAAAAGTGCATTAATACAAACTTAAAAAAATACTGAACAGGCTAAAGAATAAAGTTTCCATCAGTGATTCATTGGAAAAGCTAGGTGGGACAGGAAAGATCTCCCAGGCACCCTAAGTTCAAGTGACTGATCCCGTGGGTCAACAGGGTGATGACTTGCCATTACAATCCGTATGGTCCACTATGTCATGATGTCACTTAAATCAGTGTTGCACTCTAGATTCTGCACATTTAAATATGGTGTTACTAGACGGATGTTGCCTCACAATGTTATGCAATACAATAGCTGCATCCAGATCATGCCTTCCACAAGTCAAATAAACTGATCTTACAGAGTATCCAACATATTACAAATACATTTTCTTATCTTCCTTCCACTGGCTTCTTCAGAAGCACATTGTTTAAGAAAATCACAGTAATTCAGTTCAGTCACTAACTCAAGATTTACACAAAACCAGGGGCATAACAATCAAATTAGTCTCCACTGGGTTAATACAGAATTTTTACCACATTGTGAGATAATCCTCTTTACAGTCAATTTCCTTGGCCTTCAAATAGTGGTCTATAACTTAAAAAAGAAAAAAAAACCCCTACTGTGTCTTCACTGGAATCTTGGTCATGGGAACCCAGTATCTTGAGGAACAGTTGAATATAAAAGGCAGTGAAGCAAGTACAGTAATGAGGCAGATCTGTTTGTGATCATACATATTCCAAAACGTTTAATTACTTTTTCATTATTTTTGCATTTAACAAAATGTCTAGATTTTGGGCTTTGTGTTAGATTATATAATCAGTACCTACAAACTCACATTGGTAGAACACATTGTATATAGAGAAAGCACAGAAGATGAATAATAGTAAGCATATAATATTTGGTATATATGTTATCTACACATACTGAATGTATGGAATGTAATATATAAAAAGTAAGAAGCATTGTGGAAAATAATTTCATTTCTAGATTAGAAATCTCTTCCTTGGAAAAATAAGTAGTATTTTATAATATTTATTTTCTTCTAAAACAAAGAATAATGGGATTGGAATATTAAGACATGTTGTAAAACTTCCTGTCTAGTTAAGAAAAGCCCTTGACTGGAAAAATTTCAAATTGTCTGAGAACTGCTGGCCTGAACTGAAATAATTTACTTCTCCCTATAGAGTGCTGGCTGCCCCCCACATTTCCTCTGACTATATCACTAAATTTCAGCAGCAGTATTGCTGAAAATCAGTGGCGCCATTTCCTGCCATTCGGATGAAAAATGCTCTCTCTTTTCTATTGTACAATATGCAAACAAAAGACATTAAAGGCAAGAATAGTTCTTTCTGTTGTACTAGGAGAAACAATGAGTTAGTTCTCAAATTCACACTATGATATAACTGATATAGCAGAACCAGCATCCAATTGCATTGATATGGTTTTATCATTCAGTACTGATGTGCACCATATTTCACTTTTTATTGCTAAAGTTGTGGTCTTATTTCATCTCTTATGTTATAGATTTCCATATTAGCTAACCTGTTTCATTTTCATTATCAAATTCTTCCTCTCTAACATACACCACTGCACTTATTTTAAAATAATGGCTTGAATAATGGTTTGCTTTTTCCTGACCAGCATGGTCTATGAATATATCTCATTTTACTCCATTTTCTGAAGATTTTGCTTTTAAATCCACATGACCTAGTATGTGTGAACTTCTGCCACGATGATAGCACAGTTCTCTGAGTTGTTACTCTCAGTTTGTATGCAATTTCAAGCTTATTCACAAGTACTGACTGCAGCTTTATACTATCATTAGTAGCAGTTTCAATGGAGATGGGAATTTCAAATGCTTTCTTAAATGTTAAATCAGTTTAAGTGTCTTTTTGAATGATTTCTTTCAGAATCCCACAGGCTAGCCAATCTCATAATGCATTCATCAGCCTTTTACTTTTTAGGTTCAGCTGCATATACTGCAATGGACTGTCCCTCTTTCCATTTACATTTATGAACCCTGAAATGCTCTACAATCAGTAGTGATTTTGGCCCCACATGTTCCTACATTATCTTTACTATTTTTGCAAAGCTGAATATTGAGGGCTTTTTTGGAACAGTTGAGCTTCTGAACAGGTAGCATGCTTTGCCTCCCATAGCACTCAGTAAAATGGGCACATTTCATTCAACAACCATATTATTTGCCTCAAAAAATTGTTCAGATCTGTGTATACAATATCCAATCTTCTGTGGCACTGTCAAAAACATTAAACTTTTTAGTAACACCAGCCATCTTGCCGCATTCCGTCCCCCCCCCCCCCCCGGTCTTTACTCACTGTAACTGCTTCAGTGTCTTCTCTCTCTGTTTATTTATTGATTTACTTTTAAAATTGCCCTTTCTTCCCCTCTGGATATAAGGCAAGGCTTGAGAGGCCTTTTTTTCTTTCTTTACAATATTACTTTCATCATTACTGTTATGTCTTTTCTATAGCTGCAAACAAAAAAGTCAAGATTAGGTTTTTCTTCTACTTGCTTTATTGATATTTCTAGACCACTATTTCCCATGAGTCTGAATTACAACATATAACAGAAGGCCAAGGTAATCAAGCAATAGTATAACATCATAGGAATGGTCAATCAGTAACAATAATAACCCAATACACTACAAAAACATTTTAAAATAAACTTAGTTTTAAACAAAAGAAAATACCTCAATTCCCACACCATAGA